TCAGATTCGTAGCAGTAGGTACCTTTATAGAGGTTGGATACAATCTCAGCAATGACAGAGACCTCAACCATATTTTTCTTACTATGCCTATCATCAGATTCCTCTCTCCCACTGGTCACGTCAATGAACGAGTAGGAGCCAAAGATGTTTCCTTCGAGGAAGCTCCTTACATAGGCTCGTTCCTTGACATTTGGACCGTCCCTAATCTGTTTGCCATAGAACTTGGTATTCGGGTATAAGCTTATTGAGGGATGCATTCTATACTGAACATCAAGAAGGTGCTTGCTGCGTCCTAATATCACAAGCCTCTCAAATAAACTCCTCCCAAAATCAGCCTTCTTGCATATCTGACAATACCGAACAAGATATCATTGACAGTAAAAGTATTTCTAAATATTTAGTGATTAATGAAAGAACTAATNGACAGTAAAAGTATTTCTAAATATTTAGTGATTAGTGAAAGAACTAATTGTGGTTTTAAAACCTCGCTTTGAACCATTGCTGGAAGTTGTTTCTCATCTCCAACGAGTACTGCGTGGCGAAGACCAGGGAGCTGTAGAGGAATAGCAGATTCACATTCCTTTAGTTGTGCAGCTTCGTCAATTATCAACAATTCAAATGGCGCCATTTCTTGACTTATCAGTTTCGCTGAACTTGAAACAGTACAGAAAATTAAGCATGCGCCTGCTAGACAAAAATCCCGAACTTCAAAATATTCAGTGAAATTTGGTAGAGAGAATGTTCCTAGAAGGAATTTCATTACTTGAAGGCACTCTGATCTAATTTTTCCTGGTCCATTTAGGACTCGTCTGAAATCTTCATTTAGGGTTGAATTTCTTAAAGTTTGGAGCATTTCAAGAACTCTAACCATGTTCTCTACTACTTCCATCTTAAGATAGGAAGTAGGCAAATGGGTGCACAAGCCTTCAACACAAAGCTTTATCTGCGTTACTAATGAATCAAATTTCTTTCCAATAAACTCCTCAAGTGTCCAATAAGTATCACCTTCGTTGCTTGTTTTTTCTTTGTTTTTTTCATTCTTACCCTTTCTTTTGTCGTGCTTCATATTCTCTCCTTTATTTGATCTTTCCCTTTTGTTTTCCCTCAAGGTATGGATGGTTTTCTCCATAGGTTTCTTCTCTATTGTGCCTTTCTTGTTTTCAAAGCTCATCTCTGTCGCTTCGATTTCACTACCTCTCCGTTTCTCTTTTCTAAACCGTTCCTTTCCTTTCTTAAACGTCTTCTCCTCATTGTCATTATCTTCACCGTCGTCAACGTCGTTGTGTCTTTTTCTTTTTTCTTGTATCAAATATTGTTGATATTGCTCTTCAAGATCTTCAAGCAAGCCTATAATTGATACTAGACTTGCTCTCCACCCAAAGTGTGGATTAGAACACCTATGCAGAATAGAAATACGATGGTTGAGAAATACATCATAAAGATGTTCATTGTCGTCAATCTTCAATCGTTCTCCATTACCAAATAAAACTACGTCTCCCAGTCCATAGGTAATATTTAATAATGTATCACTTAGCAAACTCCGTAACTTTGTTGCAACTCCTATGACAGCTACATTGGTTGGTGCACAAGTTAATGTCCTGCATTTCATCCTCAACAAGGCAAACAATAACAATGAAATCGTTTCTGTTTTTCCGCTTCCTGGTGGACCCCATATCAGCTTCACATCATTTTGATGATGACAATCTCTCGTAACAATACAATTTAAGATAGCAGCTTCTTGTGAATCATTCATGCCAAAAGTGCCAATCGATTCCCTTAACATAGATTCATGAGTACTCCTCGATTCCTCAACAGAACAAATAGTACAATTTTCTTCTACCTACACGCAATAGATAAGTGCAATCAGAATTTTAGGAGTGGATAAATGAGATTCAAGTTAGAGATTATGTCCACTAGAACTTACTGATGGATTGACTCTCAGCACTGAATTAATGATCTTCATGTTTTCTCCTATCAGGTTTGGATGCAATGCTTGCCATATTCGGATATTTGTCGTCAAGTTTGTAAGATAAACAGCAAAACGTTTGTCCATGTCCTGCATATCAAACACGATAGGCTTCGAAGAAATGACTTTAATTCTAGTGGAATCGTCGTCATCCTTGATGCTGTAAAGTACAGCTATAC